GTTGCAACACAATGACAAAGATGGCTACTGCGCCTTGTGTTAATTAATCATACAGTCAGCTAACCTGGAAATGAATGAAACTATTACTTCTAAGAATTACCTTGTAAAGCCCCACCAGTAAAATTTAATTCAAAACATGTTAAACATTACTTTCATGTACTATGGACAGGTACAAATAGGATTAAATTACTGGATTTTCAGAAGTAAGTAGTTTTCCCTTTCCTAGTCTTCTGTGTACGAGATGTTAATTTCTTTTATTGCATTAAGAAGTAAAAGAGTTATGTATTTTAACTAAAACAAAAAAGTAAAAACAAAACAAAAAACAGAAAATAATCACCTAGAGAAAATAGTACAGGTCCCAGGGGACACGAGACTGGAAGTGTCTGTCGTCGCAGAAAATCATCAACTGGAGAAGGCGAAAGAGGTACCAGAAGACACTCAAGGGGAGGTGTCTGTGGTCCCAGAAAATCATTGGCTTGAGAAACTGGTTGGGGTCCTAAGGGACACTCAACTGCAGGTGTCTGTGGTCTCAGAAAATCATCCCCTGGAGACAGTGGCTGAGGTGCCAGAAGACACTCGAGGGGAGGTGTCTTGGTCTCAGAAAATCATTAGCTGGAGAAAATGGCTGAGGTCCCAGGGGACAGTCGACGGGAGGGATCTATGGTCTTAGAAAATCATCAACTGGAGAAGGTGGAAGAGGTACCAGAAGACACTCGGGAGGTGTCTGCAGTCTCAGAGAGTCATCAGCTGGAGAAAACAGGAAAGGTCCCAGGGGACAGGCAACTGGAGGGGTCTGTGGTCTCAGAAAATCATCAGCTGGAGAAGGTGGAAGAGGTACCAGAAGACACTTGGGAGGTGTCTGCAGTCTCAGAAAATCATGAGCTGGAGAAAATGGGAGAGGTCCCAGGGGACAGTCGACTGGAGGGGTCTGTGGTCTCAGAAAATCATCAACTGGAGAAGGTGGAAGAGGTACCAGAAGACACTCGGGAGGTGTCTGCAGTCTCAGAGAGTCATCAGCTGGAGAAAATGGGCGAGGTCCCAGGGGACTGTCTGTGGGAAGTGGTCTTAGAAAATCGTCAGCTGTAGAAGGTGGAAGAGGTGCCAGAAGACACTCGGGAGGTGTCTGCAGTCTCAGAAAATCCTCAGCTGGAGAAAATGGGAAAGGTCCCAGGGGACAGTCAACTGGAGGGGTCTGTGGTCTCAGAAAATCATCAGCTGGAGAAGGTGAAAGAGGTACCAGAAGACACTCAGGAGGTGTCTGCAGTCTCAGAAAATCCTCAGCTGGAAAAGGTGGCTGAGGTACCGGAAGACACTCGAGGGGAGGAGTCTGTGATTTCATAAAATCATCAGCTGCAAAAAATGGTAGAGGTACCAGGGGATACTCGACTGGAGGTGTCTGTGGTCCCAGAAAGTCATCAACTGGAGAAAATGGTAGAGGTCCCAGGGGACACTGGGGTGGAGTTGTCTGTGATCTCAGAAAATCATCAGCTAAAGACAATGACTGAGATACCAGAAGACACTTGACGGGAGCTGTCCGTGGTCTCAGAAAATCATTAGCTGGAGAAGGTGGAAGAGGTATCAAAAGACACTCGATGGGAGATGACTGTGGTCTCAGAAAATCATCAGCTGGAGATAATGGTCGAGGTCCGATGGGACATTCGACTGGAGGTGTCTGTGGTCTCAGAAAATCATCAACTGGAGAAGGTGGAAGAGGCACAAAAAGACACTTGATGGGAGGTGACGGCAGTCTCAGAAAATAATCGGCTGGAGAAAATAGTCGAGGTCCCAGGGGACAGTCAACGGGCGGTGTCTGTGGTCTCAGAAAATCAACTGGAGAAGGTAGAAGAGGTATCAGAAGACACTCGAGGGGAGTTGTCTCCAGTCTTAGAAAATCCTCACCAGGAGAAGGTGGTTGAGGTACCAGAAGACACTCGAGGGGAGGTGTCTGTGGTCTCAGAAAATCATCAGTGGTAGAAAATGGTCGAGGTCTCAGAGGACACTCGATGGGAGGTGTCCGTGGTCTCAGAAAATCATCAACTGGAGAAGGTGAAAAAGGAACCAGAAGACACTCGAGGGGAGGTGTCTGTGGTATCAGAAAATCATCAACTGGAGAAGGTGAAAGAGGTACCAGAAGACACTCAAGGGGAGTTGTCTGTGGTCTCAGAAAATCGTCAGCTTGAGAAGGTGGAAGAGATAGCAGAAGACACTCGAGGGGAGATGATTGTGGTCTCAGAAAATCATCAGCTGGAGAAAATGGCCAAGGTCCCAGGTGACACTTGAAGGGAGGTATCTGTGGTCTCAGAAAATCCTCAGCTGGAGAAGGTGGTTGAGGCACCAGAAGACAATCGAGGGGAGGTGTCTGTGGTATCAGAAACTTATCAACTGGAGAAGGTGAAACAGATACCAGAAGACACTCGAGGGGAGGTGTCGGTGGTATCAGAAAATCATCAACTGGGGAAGGTGAAAGAGGTACCAGAAGACACTTGAGGGGAGCTGTCTGCAGTCTGAGAAAAGCATCAGCTGGAGAAAATGGTAGAGGTCCCAGGCGACACTCGATGGGAGGTGTCTGTGGCATCAAAAAATCATCAACTGGAGGAGGTGGAAGACATACAAAAAGACACCCAAGGGGAGTTGACTGTGGTCCCAGAAAATATCCAGCTGGAGAGAATGGTAGAGGTCCCAGGGGACAGGCGATGGGAGGTATCTGTGGTCTCAGAAAATCATCAACTAGAGAAGGTGGAAGAGGTACCAGAAGACACTCCAGGGGAGTTATCTGCGGTCTCAGAAAATCCTCAGCTGGAGAAGGTGGTGGAGGTACCAGAAGACACTTGAGGGGAGGTGTCTGTCGTTTCAGAAAATCATCAGCAGGAGAAAATGGCCACAGTCCCAGAGGACACTCGATGGGAGGTGTCTGTGGTATCAGAAAATCATCAACTGGAGAAGGTGAAAGAGGTACCAGAAGACACTCCAGGGGAGTTGTCTGTGGTCTCAGAAAATCATCAGCTGGAGAAAATCGTTGAGGTCCCAGGGGATACTCTACGGGAGGTGTCTGTGGTCCCAGAAAACCATCAACTGGAGAAGGTGGAAGAGGCACCAGAAGACGCTCGATGGGAAGTGTCTGTGGTCTCAGAAAATCATCAGCTGGAGAAAATGGTAGAGGTCCTAGGGGACACTTGAGGGAAAGTGTCTGTGGTTTCAGAAAATCATCAACTGGAGTAGGTGGAAGATATACAAAAGGACACTCAAGGGGAGATAACTGTGCTCTCAAAAAATCTAATGGTAGAGGTCCCAGGGGACACTTGACTGGAGGTGTCTCTGGTCTCAGAAAATTATCAACTGGAGAAGGTGAAAGAGGTACCAGAAGACACTCGAAGGGAGGTATGTGTGGTCTCAGAAAATCATCAGCTGGAGAAAATGGTAGAGGTTCCAGAGGACACTCGACTGGAGGGGTCTGTGGTCTCAGGAAATAATCAACTGGAGAATGTGGAAGAGGTACCAGAAGACACTCAAGGGGAAGTGACTGTGGTTTCAGAAAATCATCAGCTGGAGAAGGTGAAAGAGGTACCAGAAGACACTCAAGCAGAGATATGTGTGGTCTCAGAAAATCATCAGCTGGAGAAAATGGTAGAGGTCCCAGGGGACACTCGAATGGAGGTGTCTGTCGTCTCAGAAAATCATCAGTTGTAGAAGGTGGTTGAGGTCCTAGGGGACATTCGAGTTGAGAAATAGTCAGAGGTCCCAGAAAACCTTTAGCTGATGGAAGTGGTTGAGCTCCCAGATGATACTGAGATGGAGGAGGCGGCTGGTGGCCCATCCATTGTCTTAAAGGTTCAGCCATGAGGTAGGGCGAGTAGCGCAATCCTGAGGAATGATGATGCTCCACTGCAACCATACTGACCTGTAGGGCAGAAGGAGGAAATGCTTTCACATATATTCATTTGATGGACAAAATTACCACCACCAACACAGGCTGCACCTTCTGTTGCTGGTGATAGTTTTTTGCACCTTTCCATCCTCCAGGTTTCAAAATAGCATTATCAGTGTTATAATATCACTCTTCCACTAAGTACTGCCGACAGCTGGGGAATAAAGAAGAGTCACTGGGACACACTGTTGTCTCCACATGCCACTGTGTCTGTCTGCAAATGTAGGCAGGCTGGCGTCCTGCCCCAGGGAAGACAGAGTCATAACAGAGTAATAAAGCAGCATGTTTGAGACACAGGAGTGTCTATGTCTATCCTCATTCCTCCCTCACAGCCATCACCAGAGCATTTTCCTTGCACCAGGTCAACAGACAGTAAGAGAGGCATGAAAAGCCCATTGTCCACACATGTTGCAGCTTCTTTTTGGAGAATGTTTTCCAGGCCTTTTACGTTCTGTCTCTGATTCTCAGAACTCTGCAAGGTCAGTGTGACCACCCTGCTCAAAATCTAAGAAAACAGAGGTTTGCAGAGGAAGGAGAAAATGTGCCCAGGGTCACAAAGCTTGCAAGAGGCCGAGTGGAAGTTGATTCCAGCTCTCCCTGCAGGACCCTCTCATTTCCCCCTCTGTTTCCCTTCTTGACAAAGGATCTTCTTCACTCTGGAGGTGCCACCCATGAGAACGAAGAGTTCTGGGGAGATGTGGATTCCTGAAGAGCTGCAGGGGAACTGGGAGAGGGTTTTCTGAGAGAACAATCCTACATCAAGAAGTCAGTTAGGGCCGGGCGCGGTGGCTCAAGCCTGTAATCCCAGCACTTTGGGAGGCCGAGACGGGCGGATCACGAGGTCAGGAGATCGAGACCATCCTGGCTGACACAGTGAAACCCCGTCTCTACTAAAAAATGCAAAAAAACTAGCCAGGCGAGGTGGCGGGCGCCTGTAGTCCCAGCTACTCGGGAGGCTGAGGCAGGAGAATGGCGTGAACCCGGGAGGCGGAGCTTGCAGTGAGCCAAGATCACGCCACTGCACTCCAGCCTGGGCGGCAGAGCGAGACTCTGTCTCAAAAAAAAAAAAAAGAAGTCAGTTAGGCATGGCTGTAATATTTCTTTTCACTCCCAGGTAATACCAAATTGTAAATGCATTAAGACATAAAGAATACTTTTGTCCATGGAAAAATGAGGTGGGAATTCTAAACAAAGCAAGTTTTAAAAATGTGTTTGACTTCAAGTGTACAAGTCCCATCATGTGTAATCATAGGACTTGGCAGCTGTTGAAGGTACAGAGGCCACACAAGAACCAGCGTAGCTGAGCATCATTTAAGGCCTTCATTTGGAATTGTCCCTTGGTAATAAGTTACATTCACTCTTCACTAACTCACACTCGGGGCCTATTTGCTATTACAAATATGGAACCTCTGACACTGAGAATATTAGATCAGGGGCACCACTGGGTGGGGATGAAGGTGTTTTTGCACCACACAGTTACCAAGAGGGATGGGACTGTGATGGACTATGGAATTGGCCTTGTCAAAGAGCATTCGAAATTGCACAAAGCACAAATTAATGTTGGATTAATGAGTTTTCACTATCTTCTGGGAATACAGCAGATATTTCAAATGTTAATCTCCTACCTTAGAGCAGAAAACAAACAAAATCACAGCAAAAGAAAGAAAACCCCACATATTTCAGAAATGAGACCTCACAACATCTGGAGTAAAGAGGGTTAGTGGGAGTTCACTGCACCATGAGACCTACAGTAGTAGAGGTCAGTGGCACCTCCTCGTGTTGGTTCTGGAAACAGAACAGTAAAAGCCCTTCAGCCCTCGGCCCCTGAGCATTTATGGATTCTAGAGGTGCCACCAACGATGATCAGCTGGGAACGGAGAAGCCTGAAAGCTCATGGGGAAGATTTTGCTTCTGAAAAAGTCCAGACAGAAAAGGCACCACAGAACCCACAGAGCAGAGGCCAGGCCAGGAGAGGGCGTTGTAGGAAAAGACCAAAGTGTCCTGATATAGGAAGAGTGAAAACCACCCCAGCATTTACCTTTGTCTTCTCTGTGTTTCCAGCTGGGACGCAGCTGCTGTTCCTCATGGGAACCGAACGAGGTCCTGAATCTGCTAAGGGCCAGAGAAGGGAATGGGGCTAAATCTGGCTTGCATGTTCTGTGCAGAGTGAGAAACCCCCCACACCCTCCACTGCCATCTCACTCTCTGCCACACAGGTCCCTTACCACAGGGGCAGGGTTTCTTGACCACATGCCTCAGAGGAATCTGGAGCCCTCGGGGCCCTCATCCTTGAGGAAGACACCACAGAGCCCTGGTCCAGGGGTATTCTTAACTCTCAACAGGCTGTGAACAGGTCGGGCTCTAACCAGCTGGAAATGAGCTCTAAATCAGTACATATCAGAGGAACTCACTCATCATGTAAGCACAGACCCAAAATTAAAATAGGAACAGCCATGTTTGGAAGAGTATCAGTAAACCCTGGATAGGAACAACACTGCGCCTCTTCTTCAAGCCATAGGGGCATTTAAAATTCTGTGGATTCATAGTTAATCTAACTTTCATACCTGGCCAGGTATTATCAATACTTATGAACAGAAATGGACATAAAAAGATGAACAGTCATGAGAAAAGGTAAGAGCTACAGAAATTAACTGGAAAGTTTTAGGGTTACACTTCAAATGTTAGAGGAGTAAGATTACATAGAAATTTAACTTGCTAACGGAGTTATATAGTTGACAACAAACAACTTAAACAAACAAAAAGAATGAAGGAAGTTCCAAAAAGTGTAAATAAATACTTCTTCTTCTTTTTTTTTTTTTTTTTTCTGAGACAGAGTCTCACTCTGTCGCCCAGGCTGGAGTGCAGTGGCGCAATCTCGGCTCACTGCAAGCTCCGCCTCCCAGGTTCACACCATTCTCCTGCCTCAGCCTCCTGAGTAGCTGGGACTACAGGCATGCGCCACTGTGCCCAGCTAATTTTTTTTGTATTTTTAGTAGAGACGGGGTTTCACCATGTTAGCCAGGATGGTCTCGATCTCCTGACCTTGTGATCCGCCCACCTTGGCCTCCCAAAGTGCTAGAATTACAGGCGTGAGCCACTGCGCCCAGCCTGCTTCTTTTCTTAAAGCAGATTTCATGCTACAGTATTGATCCATGAAGACATGGCCAGAAAATCTGTGCTCTCATCCCCAAATGTGGCTCCCATTCTAAAGTGCTATTGCTGTTTCCTCAAATGAAAGAAAAATAATGCCTTTACACTGAGTCAAGACGGAAAGGGGAGCCAGCCCATTTGCCTTCTAGGCTCATCTCCTCAGTTAAAAGGAACCACGACATCAGGGTGGGGCAATGTCCACAGTCGGTGGAGCGGCCTGAGCTCCACCATTCACAGGGGACCAGCCAAGAGCCATTCAGCTAGGGCACCTGAGATAAATAGGGTCCTGTCACCCAGTGGGACAACTGTTCTCTTTGTAAGTGCTTGGAATTGTTTCCAGGAAACATAACAATTACCCCACCCGAGCCCTCACCCCCAAAAGGAGAAGCAGGGTGTGTGGATTGTGCAGCAGAAGTTAAGCAGCTGCCTTCACAGCGAGCTCCTACCTCTCCAGAGACGGTTCTTTAGGCCCGGTCGTCCCTGGACTGGCTCCTGACTCATGTGTCTCTCTGGCATTCTCTGCTTTTCCCTCATTTCACACCTACAAGACAGAGGAAGAATTGACTTGAAGAATTAAAACACCAAGTTCTTTACTAGACACTCAAAGCTTTATCTTAAAACAAACACATCCTTTAAAATGTCCATCACAATGACCTACCCGTGCTGCTTGTAGGCAGCCTTCCTCTCAGCCATCTCCCTCTGCAAGGCTTGAGCACAGACCTGTGGGGAGAAAAATACATCCACGTCCTGACCTGGCAGACTATGTCCAAAAGCAAGGAAAACAAACAAACTTACCCAGTTGTCAAGAGCCTTTCTTGCATAAGGGGTGATCTGAAAAAGCCAACACATGAGAAATTGAATGTTGAGAGAGTCTAAGGGCCGTGGCATCATCTGCATCAGCACTGAACAATCCTACAACCCTGGGGAGGAAGGTCCTTACTTTGCATCTGTAGGAGTCCTCTGTCCGCCACTGCAACTGTTGCATGTCTTGAAACATTTTCCTGTGGATTACAATCACTTTCATCAGATAAAGCACCACTCTCAGGATGATTTTAAATAATCTGCCATGTTTCTGTTATCCTCACAACTGTACCCTTACATAATCTATCTATAGCTAGAAAACATACTTCAGATGGCTATAAAAGTACAGTCTGGGCCGGGCACGGTGGCTCACGCCTGTAATCCCAGCACTTTGGGAGGCCGAGGTGGGTGGATCACAAGGTCAGGAGATCAAGACCATCCTGGCTAATACAGTGAAACCCCATCTCTACTAAAAACACAAAAAATTAGCCAGGCATGGTGGCAGGCACCTGTAATCCCACCTACTCGGGAGGCTGAGGCAGGGGAATCGCTTGAACCTGGGAGGCGGAGGTTGCAGTGAGCCGTGATCACACATTGCACTCCAGCCTGGGTGACAGAGTGAGATTCTGTCTCAGGAAAAAAAAAAAAAGTACAGTCTGATCCAAACTGTTGCTATATTGATTTCTCCTCTTTTGCTTAATGCCTGCTAACTTCTGAGTTGACAATTTCCTTCCCCATTCTCAGCATACCCCTAATTCGTCCTTCATTGGGCATCTTTTATCATAAAGCTCTATTCTCTTTGTATTAATATCCTTGCCATGTTTCACAGAGCAGAAACAGATGGGCTTATAAACAGGCATAGTCCTTTTGAAGGATGGGGTTGATCCTACAACAAGACACTTTCCTAAGGATGACAACAACTCGCACCACCCCTAGAATGGCTGGTATGAACCGAGTTTCCACACAGTCTAGCTGTTAATGGGGTCAGGAGACGTTTTGCTACTTCACATCTTTTGGTCACTGGTAAATCTTAAGGTACTTTGTTTTCTCTTTTGTGAATTCTCTCTCTCGTTCTCTCGATATGTCTTCTGACCATTTGTTTCTATTTCTGTATTTACTGGGTCTAAACATTGTACAAAGGTTAAAAACAACACCCAAGAGGGTGGGGTTCAGTTTCTGAACTCACTTGTAGGTGCGTATTTTTTTCATAACCAATTTCCCATTTTCCTCTGCGTCTGAGAGCTGCCTCTCCTTTTCTGCTTGCTCACATTCTTTCATTCTCAGCTTCCTGAGATGAGAAGGGACAGAAATGCACACACATGATTCACTAGCCTGCGTGGGATCCTCTCTGCCCTTCTGGTATCTAAAGGCTGTGATTCAAAAGTCTCTCCCGCAACCTTCCTACAAATGAACCAACTGATTCTCACAACCGAAGGGAGAACTGACACCTCCCCTTGACAGACAAAGAAAAATCACACTCTGGACTGCTGGCAAGTCACCTGTCATTTCCAGCTCATCTTCATAGTTCTATAGTCCTATTCTTTAGTAAATAAAGACTATTAAAAGCTTCTATGAGGTGCACTATGTGTGTCTCTGGGGTCAGTTTTGTGCTTCACACAGCGAAAGCCCATTTTAGTTCAGTGTGAAAAACCAGACCTCCCCAACTCATCACAACTAACTCCATCGGGAGCAGAGGATTGCTCCTCATCTGACTCCTCCTGTGGGAGACCCGATTCTCAGTCAGAGGCTGATGCCAGAACCCAATCAGTCTCAGAGAGATCCTTCCAGAATATGGTGTCATTAACCCTGCAGTTCGCTACTGCATTTTGCCATGATTCAGGACTGGAACTCTTGTCATTGACTTTAAAGATCCTGGTTGAGAGAAAAGGCAATCTGAGTGCTGGGTGCATCTATTGAATTAGAAATGATCGGAATGGCTCCTAAGTCAGGGTGTTATGTCCTGAAAACCATCCACCCTGGTGCTGACTGACTCTAACAAGGTTCAGTTCACAGTGAGGGTAGAAAAAGGAAATGGCCTAAAAAGGTAGGTTTGCTGTGTTGCCCTCACACGACTTGATTCATGGTCCTGATCCTAAGGATCTCACCTGATACTTGATTTTATAGGAAGGATGTATAAAATTCCAAGAACCCTAGGAAACAGGGACAAACACACTTCAAAGAGAAAGTTAATGCACTTGTCTCTGACCACAGGGCATCCTTTAGCACATGCTGTCTGGAGTGGCCTTAAGCACGGAGTGTGTGGTGAGGTCCTGAGGATGCAATGGGAGCAGGGTCCTGTTCCCCCTTTAAAGGAGCTCATAGTTTAATGCAAATGAGAAGCCAGAGAGGACATCACTACTCCTGCTGTGCACTTGGGAACTAGAAACACAAAACCTGACTCTGGAGGGAAGCTAAGGAAGCGTTCTGCTCTTGAGTTGACGCAAGTGCATCTGAAGCTTCTGATCTCCCATAAGAACAATGGGGGACACCAAACAGAATATAAAACCCATGATTGAATGCATCAAATTGCTAACACGGCAGTAAAGAGACATGAGGTCAAGATGGAGAAGAAGGAAACCCAGGACGAAGGTCGGCCTCGCATTTGGAACCCATTTCCCTGAGTTTCATTGCTGAATTCCAGAAGGGACTATGAGATGCAAAGAATCAGAGCAGCTTTTGTACACATGCATGGGATTAGATGGAAAAGAAGTGGATTGAGGGTTTGGCAATGAAAGTGACCCGTACTGAAGTCCACTGGCTCTGGTTGAGACCCAGAAGAGTCACACACCAGAATAGAGGTGGACAGGAAATACCCTGGCCTTTGCAGGGACTGAGCCTGCACTGATGACCTTAATTGCTGCCTGTATGGAGGACCCCTGACCAAGCCCCAGAAGTGGGCTCCCATCTGTTCTGTGGCAGATAACACGCTAGTGGGCCTTAATTCACTGCTGAATATTTTTCAACAAGTATCTCACATTTAACAAGAAAAGATCAGTCATATGGCAGCAAAATACAATGTAATATGACCAAAACGTGAAAGACTGTGAAAATGAATCTGGAGGTGACCCAAACATTAAATTCAACAATCCAGGCCGGGTCCGGTGGCTCACTCTGGGAGGCTGAGGCAGGCGGATCGCCTCAGGTCAGGAGTTCAAGACTAGCCTGGCCAACATGGTGAAATCCTGTCTCTACTAAAAATACAAAAATTGGGCCGGGCGTGGTGGATCACGCCTGTAATCCCAGCACATTGGGAGGCCGAGGTGTGTGGATCATGATATCAGGAGTTCAAGACCAGCCTGGCCAATACGGTGAAACCGTGTCTCTACTAAAAATACAAAAATTATCTGGGCATGGTGGCATGTGCCTGTAGTCCCAGCTACTCGGGAGGCTGAGGCAGAAGAATTGCTTGAACCTGGGAGGTGAAGGTTGCAGTGAGCCAAGATCACACCACTGCACTCTAGCCTGGGCGACAGAGTGAGACTTTGTCTCAAAAAAAAAAAAGGAAAAAAAAATTGGCCAAGTGTGGTGGCACACACCTATAATCCAAGCTACTCGGGAGGCTGAGGCAGAATTTCTTGAACCTGGGATGCAGAGGTTGCAGTGAGCCAAGATTGCGCCACAGCATGCCAGCCTGGGTGACAGAGTGAGACTCTATCTCAAAATTAAAAAAAAAAAAATAGTGGTGGCTCACGCCTCTAATCCCAGCAGTCTGGGAGGCTGAGGCGGGTGGATCACCTGATGTCAGAAGTTGGAGACCAGCCTGGACAACATGGTAAAACCTCATCTTTAGTAAAAATACAAAAATCAGCTGGGCTTGGTGGTAGGCACCTGTAATCCCAGCTACTTGGGAGGCTGAGGCAGGAGAATCACTTGAACCCAAAAGGCAGTGAGCCAAGATTGTGCCATTGCACTCCAGCCTGGGCAACAAGAGCAAAGCTCCATCTCAGGAAAAAAAAAAAAAAAGAGAGAGAGAGAAAGGAAAATCAATGCCAGTACTAGCACCTCCTGTTCCCCCCAAAAAAATTACAAACAAGAATGTAGGAAGGGAAAGGAGTTATGCAGATTAAACTAATCAAGCAGAAAGGACAAACTCAATTTTGTACCCACTGAATTTGCCACAAATATTGCAGAAAATATTCTCAAGGATATTACAGTTGTCTACTTTGATTGGCACATGGTTCATACAACAGTGTTTGTGTCAAGGCACATCTTACCCTTCCTCGGTAGTCTTCCTCTGTCCATGGATTTGGTAATGACTGTTGACCTTCGTTGTCACCTTATGGACCTCAGCTCGAACTTTGGCTTCCATATATCTCCATGAAGTAAAGAGGTCTTCCAGGCCAATTTTAATTCCTGGAAAGGAAGAAACCCTTTTCTTTGTGTGCATACAAGTGGACCTCAGCCCTTGGTGAGGGTGAAGAGAGAAGGTGAGAAACCTGAGGGCAAGAAGCTGTTCTTTCCCTTTCCAGGTCAAACTCATTTCCATGCTATGGGGATTCCAACAGAGCCATACCTTCTTGGCTACGGCTATTGGACCTCCAGGCTCTCCGCTGTACATCTGTAGATCTGTCATGTACATTTTGTAACTTTAAGACAGTCTTGAGGAAAGACACCTGGGAAACAATAATTTAAGAATGACTGCCAGGCATGGTGGCTCATGCCTGTAATCCCAGCACTTTGAGAGGCCGAGGTGGGTGGATCACGGGGTCAGGAGTTCAAGACCAGCCTGGCCAAGATGGTGAAACTCCGTCTCTACTAAAAATACAAAAATTAGGTAAGCCTGGTGGCGCACTCGTGTCATCCCAGCTACTCGGGAGGCTGAGGCAGGAGAATCGCTTGAACCCGGGAGGTAGAGGTTGCAGTGAGCTGAGATCGCACCATTGCACTCCAGCCTGGTGACAGGGTGAGACTCCATCTCTCAAAAAAAAAAAAAAAAAAAAAAAAAAGACATGAATATACTTCACACAACTGAACTATACACTTCAACAGGGTTAGATGGTAATTATCATGTTATTAAATATTTTACCACAGGTTAACATGTTTCACAACTTGAACAGGATGCAATTACCTTTGGCTCTCTGAGTTCCAGAATTTGTAACATTTCACCCCCGCTCTGGAGCATCTTCCTTCTGTCCCTGTTCTACTCAGAGTCCACTTTCCCTTCCCTGACATCACCCTCATTGAGGCTGGTTTGAACCTAATGCAAAACATTCTCACTAACGACTGAATTCCCGCCAAGATTTCCATATTGTCACTGTATGATTTTAATCTTCTAAGATATTAAATATTTGTTCTCATCATATTTTATTTATTTATTTTTTTGAGACGGAGTCTCGCTCTGTCGCCCAGGCTGGAGTGCAGTGGCCGGATCTCAGCTCACTGCAAGCTCCGCCTCCCGGGTTTACGCCATTCTCCTGCCTCAGCCTCCCGGGTAGCTGGGAGTACAGGTGCCCGCCACCTCGCCCGGCTAGTTTTTTGTATTTTTAGTAGAGACGGGGTTTCACCGGGTTAGCCAGGATGGTCTCGATCTCCTGACCTCGTGATCCGCCCGTCTCGGCCTCCCAAAGTGCTGGGATTACAGGCTTGAGCCACCGCGCCCGGCCTGTTCTCATCACAGCTATGACACAATGCAAATCCCATCTCAGATGTGGGTCAGATACCTCTGAATTTCCTGAAGTAGTCATGGAAATAACTTTTTTTTTTTTAACTTTCTTTTTTTTTTCTTTTTGAGATGGAGTCTCACTCTGTCACCCACGCTGAAGTGCAGTGGCGCCACCTTGGCTCACCACAACCTCCACCTCCCAGATTCAAGCGATTCTCATGCCTCGGCCTCCCAAGTAGCTGCGATTACAGGTGCCCGCTACCATGCCTGGGTAATCTTTATCTTTTTAGTAGAGATGGGGTTTCACCATGTTGGCCCAACTGGTCTTGAACTCCTGACCTCAAGTGATCCACCTGCCTCAGCCTCCCAAATTGTTGGGATTACAGGTGTGAGCCACCACACCTGGCCTGAAATAATATCTGTCAAATTCTTTGTAGAATTTGTTTTTTCTGATTTCTGCACATAGGATAAAAAACAAAACATGTACTAGGATTTCGAGAGAAGCAATGGGTAACCTAAAAAGATGAAAGAGCAACCACATCTATCCCACAGCTACTGCTAGATTTCATAAGAAAGGTAGCTGGCCCAGTTTGGAGCTAGGAGAATGTCAACCACATGAAGAAATGAGAAGTGAAGAAACGCTGTCATGCATGAACGTTTCATGGCACCCACGATGTCCCTCCTTAGGAGGTAATGAGATAGATGACTAGATGACTAGATGACAAGTAGAAAGATGAGAAGGTGCAAAGTTGTCCAAGTCAAACAGCTCAACTGAACTTTCCTTAACGGAATTTTTAAAAAGTGGTAAATTTAAAAACTTCCCCTGGCTCACGTGGTGGCTCACACTTGTAATTCCATCACTTTGAGAGGCTGAGGTGGGCGGATCATTTGAGGTCGGGAGTTTGCGACCAGCCTGGCCAACATGGTAAATCCCGACTCTACTAAAAATACAAAAATTAGCTGGGCGTGGTGGTGGGCACCTGTAATCCCAGCTACTTGGGAGGCTGAGGCAGGAGAACCGCTTGAAGCCAGGAGGTGGAGGTTGCAATGAGCCGAGATCACACGATTATACTCCAGCCTGGGCAACAGAGGGAGACTCATTTCAGAAACAAAACAAACAAAAAAAGTCCCCCAATTTATACCGAAAATTCTCTTTTCAGGACTAAGTGGAGTAGAGAATGTTAAATTGGGCCTAGATACCTTCATAACTCATATATTTTCTGTTTTGTACATATCTTGGAAGGCAGTGCCAAATGATGTGTAATTATCTAAGTTGTAAAAATCAAACATACTTCCTCTTTCCTTGAATATCAAAAAACATTGTGGTATTAGTACTTTTATCTTGGATCATTGTTCAGAAGGAGCTTCAGCCCCCAGACAACCACATTTTTACTGTCATGAATGGCAAGAGAAAATGTAGTTTCATGAATGGCAAGAGAAAATGTAGAGCTCAATTTACCCAATGGACAAAAGGCTCAAAAGGCAAATTATGGCACAACTTAGCAGCCAAATTCTTATCAAGTACAGACTTTTGACATGCTGATTGCTCTCCAATTGCAACTGGGAACATGCACTTTGACTGATGTCATTCGAAATTACCCTGCCCAGACACATTTACCCATTGCTTCTCTCGAAATCCTAGTACATGTTTTGTTTTTTATCCTATGTGCAGAAATCAGAAAAAACAAATTCTACAAAGAATTTGACAGATATTATTTCAGGCCAGGTGTGGTGGCTCACACCTGTAATCCCAACAATTTGGGAGGCTGAGGCAGGTGGATCACTTGAGGTTCTAAGAGATCACTTGCAGTTCTAAGAGATTCTCTGGGGCTTTCTCTGCATCATGAGACGCAGCGCAGTTCTGCCCTTCGCCTTCCTGCAGTTTGTCACTTTGTCCCTATGATCTCAGAGGAACTTTGTCTCAGGCCAATTGTTTGCTCCTTGGGCTCTTTCATTTCCCCTAAAAATCATTTGCTGCCCCTCTAAATTGCCTACATCTCTATCTATCTTCCTTTCCCCTCAGAAAAGGGTGCTCTTTAAGCATCAACCATCTGGCCCTTCTAGCAGCCTCATTTTTCAGCTGGCTCTCATGTTTGTACCTGTTCTATGTTTTTCTTCTCCTGTCAAGCTGTCTGTTGTCAGCTCATTTCTGCAGTGAATCTTTAGAGAGGGGAGTGGAAGCTTTCCTTCCACCCATACAATAGAATTATAAAGCAGAAGAGTTTAGAAAGAATTTCCTATTTAGGGATGAAATTTCATACTCCATTTCTGATAAATAGCACAAAGGTTAAAAAAACTTATTTTTGACCAAAAGCTCTCCTAACATTCTATTAAACAAACACCAACCTATTTAATTTTCATAATGTAAATGGCAGATATTTTCATAATTCTTATGCTAATAAATCATTTCCCTGATTTTTTGGGTAAAACCACATATTTATAATGAAGTCCAGAAACATTAATTGTTTTAAACAATTTCTTCTCATTTGTGATTACAAGTATATCTCTACAGAAAGTTAGTATACTCACACCAAAGCTAGTTTTCCAGAGGAAAATGCCAAGTGTAGAAATTCCCAGAAACACAATAATGATAGCTATCCAAGGAATTCCAAAAAAGTCAGGCCCAGGCTGAAAATGGTCAGGCAGAGAATTGATAACCTGAAATAATAATAGTAGAAATAACGAAAAGGTCAATGACACTGACAATATTTCAGTCAAAAAGAATCATCCTTAGAAACCGTTAACCTCCTCCAAAATGTAACCACATCCCTCAGATATCAACATGAGATGTCACTGCTACAAAAAAGAACAGAAGTTACCAGTCTCATGTTTTTTGGATGGCTGGTAGTGTTTTTAGGCATTGCAAATGTGGGGTGTCTTTTTTCTTGGTATAAAGCAGGGATATCCAATCTTTTGGCTTCCCTGGGCTATATTAAAAGAAGCAAAGTTGTCTTGGGGCACACATAACATACACTAACAATAGCTGATGATCTAAAAAAAAAAAAAACTCTTTTTTTTTTTCTTTGGAGACAGTCCTGCTCAGTTGCCCAGACTGGAGTGCAGTGGTACAATCTCGTCTCACTGCAACCTCCAGCTCCTGGGCTCAAGCCATTCTCCTGCCTCAGCCTCCCCAGTAGCTGAGATTACAGGTCCCTGCCACCATGCCTGGCTAATTTTTGTATTTTATGTGGAGACGGGGTTTTGCCATCTTGGACAGGGTGGTCTCAAACTCCTGACCTCAGGTGATCTGCCTGCCTTGGCCTCCAAAGTGCTGGGATTACAGGCATGAGCCACCGTGCCTGGCCAAAAATCTCATAATGTTTTCACAAAGTTTACAAATTTGTGTTGAACTGCATTCAAAACTGTCCTGGGCCACATGCAGTCTGTTACCCATGGGTAAGACAAGCTAAGTATAAAGTCATTATCTTTTCTTTCTTTTCTTTTCTTTTCCTTTTTTTTTTTTTATTTTGAGACAAAGTCTTGCTCTGTCGCCCAGTCTAGAGTGCAGTGGCACGATCTTAGCTCACTGCAACCTCCACCTCCCAGGTTCAAGTGATTCTCCTGCCTCAGCCTACTGAGTAACTGGGATTACAGGTGCCTGCCACTGCGCTCTGCTAATTTTTGTATTTTTAGTTGAGACGGGGTTTCACCATCTTGGCCAGGCTGGTATCGAACTCCTGACCTCATGATCCACCCACCTTGGCCTCTCAAAGTGCTGTGATTACAGCCTGGCCAGTAATTATCTTTTCTTTATTTACTTATTTTTTAAATTGATGTATAACATTGGTTGTATTTATCACATTATCACATGATAAAAGAATCCCTCTGAATCATACTTCTCTCTTGGATTATGTGAATCTTTGTCATTTAAAACTCAGCATAAGTAAAAAAAAAAAAAAAAAAAAAACAATGAAGAGATGACTTCATTCACAAATAAGTATCAAATTTTAGTGCTTAAAAATTACCAAGGTGGGCCAGGCGCAGTGGCTCACGCCTGTAATCCCAGCACTTTGGGAGGCCCAGGCGGGTGGATCACGAGATCAGGAGATCGAGTCCATCCTAGCTAACATGGTGAAACCCCATCTCCACTAAAAATACAAAAAATTAGCAGGGCACAGTGGCACGCACCTGTAGTTCCAGCTACTTGGGAGGCTGAGGCAGAAGAACCGCTTGAACCAGGGAGGCAGAGATTGCAGTGAGCCTAGATCATGCCACTGCACTTCAGCCTGGGTGACAGAGCAAGACTCTGTCTCAAAAAAAAAAAAAAAAAAAAAAAAAAAAAAAAAAAAATTACCAACGTGGAGATTATGAAAATGGCAAAATGGCATGAATAGTGTGGAATTTCTCTAAGATTGTTGATATTAATTCCATTAGACTCTTATGCGAACCACATCACAATTGTAACCACGTTACAATATGGTAAAGCCCTGTCTCTACTAAAAATGCAAAAAAATTAGTCAGTCGTGGTAGCATGTGCCTGTAGTCCCAGCTACGTGGGAGGCTGAGACAGGAGAATGGCTTGAATTCAGGAGGCAGAGGCTGCAGTGAGCCAAGATTGCACCACTGCACTCCAGCCTGGGCAACAGAGTGAGACTCCATCTAAAAAAACCAAAAAAACAAAAAAACAAGAATTACACATCCGTGACCTTTTCCGTGCAACCACATACCTCCTAATAAATAGGATGGATTTTATTTCCGAACTCCACTGACGTGGCCCCAGTTACAAGATTCGTCGTGGCCAACAGGATGTGAGCAGGAGTGATGTTTGCTACTTCCAAGCAGCGACCCTAAAGCATTTCCATTTCCATTTGCCCTTTTATCTCCTGTGATTAGCCATGAAATGACCCTACCCAAGTTGCCACTGTCTCTCTGGGTGGGAGCCAGACTGAAGACCCATGGAGCACTCAGAAGCAACCAGAAGTCCTGAGTCCAGCTTGGTCCAGCCAAGCCAAGGTGTCCCATGGATCTAAATGTTTGGTCTTGAGAGATACACAAGGAGGTTGGTTGATTCCTCAGGATTTAACTATATATTCTTGAAAACATCTTAATTTTAAATGTTTCTTTCAAGATGGTGAATTAAACAGAGATAGCTCTTCAACAGGTTGAACTCAGCATATACTGAGTCTGAAATGGAAAGGATGGCGTTAGGGAACTGTGCAACAATGGTAATGATTTCAGAAACATTGTGTTGAGCAGAATAAGGCACACACAAAAGAGTACCTATGGCATGGCATGCATCTATATACACGAAATTCCAGAATAAGCAAGCTAACCTATGATAAGAAAGAGATTGGCTGGGAAAAGGGAGAGTTCACTTTCTGGGGTGACGTAATAGTGTAGATCTTGGCTGGGCACGGTGGTTCATGCCTGTAATCCCAACACTTTGGGAAGCCGAGGTGGGAGGATCACTTGAGGTCGGGAGTTCAAAACCAGCCTGACCAACATAGAGAAACCCCATCTCTACTAAAAATACAAAATTAGCCGGGCGTGGTGGCACATGCCTGTAATCCCAGCTACTCGAGAGGCTGAGGCAGGAGAATCGCTTGAACCTGGGAGGTGGAGGTTGCGGTGAGCTGATACTGTGCCATTGCACACCAGCCTGGGCAACAAGAGAGAAACTCCATCTCAAAACAAAACAAACAAACAAAAAAATAGTGTAGATCTTGAAAGGGGGTTGGGTTATTCTGGTGTATGTACTTTTCAAAGTTAGTAAACTTACCCTTAAGGTTATATATTTTGGCCCAGTGCTGTGGCTCACGCCTGTAATCCCAGACTTTGGGAGACTGAGGCAGGCAGATCATAAGGTCAAGAGATAGAGACTATCCGGGCCAAGATGGTGAAAGCCCATCTCTACTAAAAATACAAAAATTAGCCAGGCGTGGTGGTCTGCGCCTGTAATCCCAGCTACTCAGGAGGCTGAGGCAGGACAATCGATTGAACCCGGGAGGCAGAGGTTGCAGTAAACCAAGATCTTGCCACTGCACTCCAGCTTGGGCGACAGAGTGAGACTCTGTCTCAAAAAAAAAAAAAAAAAAAAAAAAAGTCGTCAAATAAGATGACACAAAACTCAAATGACATTTCACTTTGTTTTGATTCGTTGTGTTTGAGACAAGAGTGCAGCGGGGCAATCTGGGCTCACTGCAGCTTCCAACTCCTGGGCCGGAGCGATCCTCCCACCTCAGTCTCTCCAGTAACTGGGACAACAGGTGCGCACCACCAGGCCCGACTGATCTTTTTTTGGCATTTTTTGTAGAGATGAGGTTTAGCTATGATGCCCCGGCTAGTCTTGAACTCCTGGACTCAAGTGATCTGCCCACCTCGGCTCCCTAAAGTGCTGGGATTACAGGCCAGAGCTGTGTAATTTCATGCCGCGTGACACGGCCCAATAACAAGGAAGAAACCCCGCGGGTCCAGCGTCTACTCACATAGGTCGACTGATGGCTGAGAAATCCCAGCAGGAGGAGCCAAAAGAGCAGCCACCGCACCCGCATGTCCCGGTCCTCTCAGGGCGCCTTGAGGCGGCCAGGACAGAGGTGGGGGTGGCTTAGGGCGGGGGGAGGGAAGGGGATGGGGACGTGGGCCGGATCTGACTTGGGGAGGGGGAGGGGAGGGGAGGGAAGGGAAGGGAAAGGAGGAGAAGGGGGCTGTTGGGCACCTGGAGGAGGAGGAGGAGGAGGAGGAGGAGGAGGAGGAGGAAGAGGAGGAGGAGAAACGGGTGTGGAAAAGGATCCGGTTCAAAATAAGTTCTCAAGTACTGGTGGAAGGTTTAGCTACAGGTCAGGGAGAAGGTCAATCAGAGAAGCAACAGGACGCGCGGGGCAAGGGAGCGGGAGGCACAGGAGCAATTAGATGGGGCCAGAGCTCTGCTTTCCAACAAACCTTCTTCCATCTGGGCGCTGCCTTAACAACCCTGGGGCTTAATACTCCCTCTCCACCAATCCCCGGACCCGGAACGTGGTGCCTCACAGTGGACATTCCACAGAGCGCCGGCGTCCTTCCAATGCCCACTCCTCCATCTCAGCCCCCCACACTCCTCCCAAGGACAGGTCCTCTCTGGAACCTTCACAAACCTGATTTCTGGTCCTCCCCAACCAGCTCCCTGTCCCTGCTTCTGGGCGGCTCCCAGGGTTCCTCAAGGTCAAACTTGGAGGCAAAACATAAAAAACAAATGATGACAGGACGACAGGAAGAACCTCATACCCAAGCAGAGTGCGAGGTTTTATAGTCCTCGCTCATCCATTCATATCCTAAGCAACTAAACATCAGTAGGATGCGGAAGGTCCCAATAGTAAACCATCTCCATCACATCCATGTAGCCATCCATCCATCAACCTGTATCTCAGGAACAAATGTTGTAGATACATTCATTTTAAGCATGCATAGCACATTTACAAAAATTCACCTAACTTATTTTGTTGCAGCAAATCTCAATATATTTCAGAGGAATCAAATCACACAGCATGTTTCTGATCATATAATTGTGCTAGAAGTCAATGAATAAGGCCAGGTGCGATGGCTCATGCCTGTAATCCCAGCACTTTGGGAGGCCGAGGTGGGTGGATCACGAGGTCAGGAGATCGAGACCATCCTGGCTAACACGGTGAAACCCTGTCTCTACGAAAAATGTAAAAACTTAGCCGGTCGTAGTGGCGGGCGCCTGTAGTCCCAGCTGCTCGGCAGGCTGAGGCAGGAGAATGGCACGAACCCGGGAGGTGGAGCTTGCAGTGAGCCGAGATCACGCCACTGCACTCCAGCCTGGGTGACAGAGCAAGACTCCGTCTCAAAAAAAAAAAAAAAAGAAGTCAATGAATAAAAGTTAACTCAAACTTATTATTTGCTTGGAAATTCAAAGTGCCCTTATAAGATATAAACATAAGAAAGAATCCAAAATGAAACAAGACTGCCTTTAAACTCAATGATAAGATCATAACATGGCAATAAAATGTCTCCCTCTGGCCTGGGAATTCCACTCTGTAGCACAAGGTTGTGTGGTCTCAAATCACCCCTACCCCACATAGACGTTTTCACATCTGAAACAGAGTGATGATGTCACTTATCTATATCACCTTACTGCCTGTGAGTGTGGACTTTAAATTCTGAACCCAAATGAGGGGGAGAAAACCAAGTTGACTTTCATGATTGACCTACCAGGGATGTCCAAGGAATCTGTGCATTTCAAGGAACAAAGTTCATCAGCTTCTCTCCCAGGGGATTTGGCTACAATACCCAGAGGGTTTGGCAGCATCATGAGTGATGGGTGGGGAGTGCCAAGCAGGTGGGCAGGACCCAGGGGCCTGGTGACCAGGACAAACCCCCACTGTCCATCACCTTTCCTGGCCCTGTCCTCAGCTAAACTTCCCAAAGGCCTTCTTCTGCCCGATCACACAGAGTGCGCCCAAACTCACTCAGGCCTCTGGCAGCTGAAAACCACTGCTTTAAATCCCTTTACCATTTACTATGACATAAGGTTACTGTCAACAGGAAATATTCTATTGATGCTACAAATGGAAAGCCAATGCCTTTACCGTAAATAGAAAAACAACCCTAAGAAACAAGCAAAACAAAAACAAAACAGGGGCTGGGTGCGGTGGCTCATGCCTGTAATCTCAGCACTTTGGGAGGCCAAAGTGGGCAGATCACAAGGTCAGGAGTTCAAGACCAGCCTGGCCAATATGGTGAAACCCTGACTCTACTAAAAATACAAAAATTAGCCAGGTGTGGTGGCAGGTGCCTGTAGTCCCAGCAACTCGGGAGGCTGAGGCAGGAGAATAGTTTGAACCCGGGAGGCAGAGGTTGCAGTGAGCTGAGATCGTACTACTGCACTCCAGCCTAGGCGACAGAGCAAGACTACGTCTCGAAAAACAACAAACAAACAAACAAAAAACAGGGATAACAAAACTATGGAATTCAATTCTATTTGTATGTTGCTGCCATGCTGCAGCCCTAGATTTGGCTGGGCGAGGTGGCTCATGCCTGTAATCCCAGCACTTTGGGAGGCTAAGGCAGGTAGATCACGAGGTCAGGAGTTGGAGACCAGCCTGACCAACATGGTGAAACCCTGTCTCTACTAAAAATACAAAAATTAGCCAGGCGTGGTAGCATGCACCTGTAGTCCCAGCTACTCAGGAGGCTGAGGCAGGACAATCCCTTGAACCTGGGAGGAGGAGGTTGCAGTGAGCTGAGATCATGCCATTGCACTCTAGCCTGGGTGACAGAGTGAGACTCTGTCTCAAAAAGACAAAAACAAAAAAGCCCTAGATTTGGGTTGTCTTGGTTGTAAAGGAGAGACCAAGTAAGTGGGGGCTGAAGTCAGATTAGCCCAAAAGTGAATGGCAGAGAGTACCATAATGCCCATGAAGGGTTGCTAGCATTGCCTTGATTATAGCCCAAGCAGAGACAGGGAAAGGAAGGCGATGTGAGCAGAGTTTGGGGCTTCAAACAGGGGAGGTTATTTGTGCAGCCCAGGAAAGGCTCCCCAAAGCCAGGATCAACCTCCCTTGCAGGCCGGTCCCTCATGGAGGCAGGGCCAGGCACCTTAGATTTGAGACCAGCTGTGTTGCTGCTGACCAGCTGTGTGACCCTGGGCTGGTTTCCTTCCATACAACGGGAGTGCCAATGGCTGCGCGCAAAGACTGTCTGAGGATAGGAGGTAGCACTCTGTTGAGCACCTGTGTACCTGAGTGTCATCACCCCCCAAGGATATCTTTCTTTCCAGAGCTGGCACTTTGGAAGGCCCTTGGCCACTAAAGGCAGTGATGATGATAACAGCAGCAGCTGTAAATGATGTTTATCATTTACGGCTGATAAGGGAAGGCCAGGGGATAGGGCTCCTAGGTCCTGGATAAGAATGAGGATCTGGGCACTCCTGGGGACAGCTGAGTGGTAGGACTCCTGGGTCCCCAGGGGGCAGGTCCATCTTCAGTGGCATTGGGCCTAGGCTGAGGTGCTGAGGCAGCTACTGGAGCATCAGCAGTACAGGCAGGCACAGAGGCAGTGGATCCATCAGAGGTGGCAGGTGTAGGATGTATCTCTCATCTTGTAGAGGTATTAAAAGATTCGAAAGGCCGGGCGCGGTGGCTCACGCCTGTAATCCCAGCACTTTGGGAGGCCAAGGCAGGCAGATCACGAAGTCAGGAGATCGAGACCATCCTGGCTAACACAGTGAAATCCCATCTCTACTGAAAAAAAAATACAAAAAAAAAATTAGCCAGGCGTGGTGGTGGGCGCCTGTAGTCCCAGCTACTCGGGAGGCTGAGGCAGGAGAATGGCGTGAACCCAAGAGGCGGAGCTTGCAGTGAGCCGAGATCGCTCCACTGCACTCCAGCCTGGCTGACAGAGGAGAGTCCATCTCAAAAAAAAAAAAAAAAAAAAGATTCAATTTATTTGGTAGATTGTATGGGCAGGCATTGTCAAATGGGGTGATACTGCATGGGAGGGCACTGTCAAATGAGGTGACATTAGATTTCATCTCAGTTATATTTATGGGTATGTTGTTGATATACATGTTCCAAAAATTACATATATTTATACGAATTTAATGTTATGATTTGTAATTTTGATTGTTATGCTAAATATTTGCTAAAGTTATATTTGTATAAACATTTTATGAATGGGTGGGCACCGTCACTGTAAATCCCAGCACTTTGGGAGACCAAGGCGGGTGGATAACCTGAGGTCAGGAGTTTGAGACCAGCCTGACCAATAGGGTGAAACCCCGTCTCCAATAAAAATAAAATTAGCTGGGTGTGGTGGCACAAGCCTGTAGTCTCAGCTACTCGGGAGGCTGAGACAGGAGAATTGCTTGAACCTGGGAGGCAGAGGTTGCAGTGAGCCAAGATCGCGCCACTGAACTCCAGCCTGGGTGACAGAGCTAGAATCTATCTATTAAAAAAAAAAGTTATTAATTATTTCTGGAGATTATATGAAATTTGTAAGTCTGGTGGTCCTAATGTGATGCTGTCAGTCATGACTGGGGTTACTGTCTTAAAATGCTGCACATAAGAGAATCAAGTTTCCTTGTGAACTGGGAACTTTCATCAGATTTTTATCATAACTATTGTTTCCATCATCCACAGTTACTGTTTTGAATTCTTCTCTAAAAATATTTGTAATTGGCAATAGTCCAAATTTTCTTTTGTTTTCTTTCTTGTTTTTGAGAGACAGTCTGGTTCTGTCAGCTAAGCTGGAGTGCAGTGGTGCCATCTTGGCTCTCTGCAACCTCTGCCTCCTGGGTTCAAGTGATTCTCCTGCTTCAGCCTCCCAGGTAGCTGGGACTATGGTCACCCACCAGCACGCCCAGCTAATTGGTGGTGGTAGAGATGGGATTTACCATGTTGGCCAGGTTGGTCTCCAACTCCTGACCTTGTGATCCGCCCGCCTCAGCCTCCGAAAGCACTGGGATTACAACCGGGAGCCGCTGTGCCAGGCCCCCAAATTTGTCTTTCATGGAAAAAACTCTAACAAGTCTTCTTGAACACAGTTTTCTGATAACCCAGATCAATGAATTACCCAGGCTTCACCACTATG